AAAGGGATTGATGGTTGCGTATTAGGGATAAGAGGTAAGACAAGACTCGATGCAGGGGCGGGGAGGAGAGAGGGGCGACGTGGGGGAAGGTGAGAAGCAGGAGCGGGGGGGGATGGAAGGCGAGGGAGGGGATGTGGGGGGGGCATAGAAGACTTTGGAAAGACGTATGAGGAGGAGAGCGTAGGCTACTGTAGAGTACGAAAGTTTGAAGGAGGGGGAAGTTTCAAGAAGAAAATTTAAAAATGCGAGTCATGGAGTAAGGGGGAGTTGGGGATGGGAAGCGGAGTGACTAGGCGTGGATAGGATGAGGGACGGGGGAGGCGAGTTAGGATGTGCGACAGGAGAGGATGATGACTAGAGAGGATGGACGAAAGGAGCTCGAGAGTGGGATCCGGAAGTGAGAGGAGGGGCGAAATTTCGAGGGAATCGCATCGAGAGATGGGGTCAGTTGGGAGGGTGTCGTTTGGTCGGTCCCCGGTGGCGGAGGGTCGGGGGGGGGCTCGGTCGTTGCGACGGAGCGTTACCGCCGTTGCGTCGAGGGCTTTCTAACCAGGGGATGTGGGGGTACAGCCAACTGTGTTGGTTTTAAGAGCTCAGGATTGACCGTAGTTCTTTTGGTACGTGGTCGAGTCGGGGTGGTTGGTGGGAGGTTGCCTCGGGCGGGAGGGGGGCGACAGGTGGTGGGTAGGAGGTGGGGCCGGTTTGCGACAGTATATGAGGTAGTGCTTGCGTCAAGGGGGTCTCTGTCTGGTCTCATTGTGCCGTCGGAGTCCGTGTCTGTGGATTAGGTTCCGGAGAATATCTAATGCGGTGTGCACTGGTTTTGAACGTGTCCGCTCCGTTACGTTGGGGGGTTCTATGATTTTCGAGGACGACCCACGTCGTGGGTGAATAATCCTCTCGATGGCGTCCTGTGTCTCCGGAATCCTGTCGGTTGAGTAGGGAGCCTTGAGCCGGGGTCGGGGAGACAAGGTTGAGATCGGGAACTGGTGTAGGCGTTGGATCGGGTCGAGTCAGCGGTTGCTGGGGGGTCTGTCGCGATTGTTGAGATCGACTCGGGTGTTCAGAGTTCTGGGTGAGGCTATATCGAAGTTCGCTCGTGAGGCCGTCGCCACTGTTTTGGTGGAAGTTGGAGGATGGGGAGTGTGACTGGGGTCGGTGGGGTCAGTAGTGCCTTTCCGACGCAGACGCAGGGGAGAGCTGCAGTTGTCGGTGCTTGTGGACTTGTATAGAATACCCTGGTGGCGACCGTGAGAGGGGACGACGAGTAAGATCTAGTTGTACGTCCGGGGGATGTTGAGACCCTGAGTCACGACTAGGGTGTGGGATGGGTTGGGGGTACGCTTTTCTGGGTGATAGGGAGGGGTCCGGTTACCTGCCGAGGAATCTTAGGTGTCCGGATGTGCATTAGGTTTCGGGGGATCACTGAGCGATGTGGCACCCTGGTTCGGACCACAGCGAGGGCAAACGGTCGAGAGAGTACTACGAACTTTTGGTTGCGAGACGTCTTGTGGCGGGAGGGGCGGGTGAGTGAGAAGGGTGTTTAGGGGCTGTGAGGATATGTGGATGCCGGTGTTGGAGCGGGTGGGCGGATCGATTTATGGAGATAGCCCCCCTTGCAGGTCTAGCTTGCATGGGAATTCCATATCGGCTTTGTGCGTGATGTGTTTGGTCTGGCTTGGCCGGTGGGCCCCTTGCCCAGCGGGAGGTGGCGCGGGTCCAAGCGGAGTCGTCCCTTGTGGACGGGGGCTGGATCGTCGTTGAGTGCCGGGACTGAGTCGTTACCTCACCCAGTCCACTCCGTTGGACGTGTTCATCTTTCGGGCTAGTGCTTCTGGATTTTCAGCTTTGGTTTCCGCCAACTGACTTGCGACTGGGTGTCCGTTCGGGGACTGCTGTCGTTGCTAGAATGGAGGGAGATGATCGAGGCGGGGGGGTGTTCAGCGGAGGTTAAGGGCGCAGAAGGAGACGGATCGCGGAACGGGTGTACCCTGGACGGGACGGGAGGCAAGCGAAGTGGTGGGGCACTGGCCGGAGAGATTGAATTGGTGTTTTGTGGGCGAGTGGCTACTTGCTGCTTAGGTTGAGTCGACTGGCCATCGGGGAGTATGTGGGTGGGGCGAGAAGCGGTCGTGTCAGGTGGTCTGACCCAATGCGGTGGAGATAGTTGTGGCCCGGCCACGTGGGCATGGAGGTTGTTTTCCTTCTGCGGTAGTGAGGCTCCTGGCTGTGCTGCACGTGGAATCTCTGTGATGAACTCGGCCCGAGAGTCTGTTTCTTGGCGGCGATGCGCTGGCCGTCCAGGAGCTGAACTCTGGGAGGGTTTTAGTCCATCTCCCCGTTTGTCCCTTGAGCGTGCGTGTCTGCTCATCTTCTGCCTCCGACCGTGTTTTTTTCCGCGGCTGGGTGACAAGTGGATATCTGTTTTGGGCGGCTAGGCTGCTGCCAGCGGGGGGAGACTCCGACGGGGTGCCGGATTCGTGGAGGTTTGGGAGGACGTCCGAATTGGTTATTTGGGGACGCCGCGTGGGCGCGGGCGACTGGGCGAGGAGGGAGAGTGGAAGACGCGCTACGGTAGGGGAGAAAGGACACAACAGGGATGGCAGGGGTTGGGGATGCATTGAAGTGAGGCGGTGAAGAGGAAAGTAGCGTCAAGAAGAAATGAGTAGGTGGGACTAGGGTTTCTTGTGCTCCAAGTAGAAGGTGGGATGACCCTGTGGGAGAGAGGTTGATGAGACCTCAAAACTGTTCCACTACGGAGCGGTGTCTTTTTTCTTGGTTGTGTTATATACTGGTGGGGGGCGTAGGTCTGGGGAGCAATGAGAGGTGGTGAGGAGGAGAAGATCGATGGCGCCGGATCAGGGCGCCGCCAGGAGTTGAATGAGGGTTGGGGCGCAGGGGGTTGAGGTTATTAGTTAGTTTTTGTTATCGGCTTGTGGGGATTTCCGCTTTTCCGGCATGTTTTGGTGATTCGCACGTGTGTATGGGTGTTGTTGGATGATAGCTTTGGCCCTTCTCTGTCGCTCTTGTACTTGTCCGAAGGAGTTTGCGGCGAGGGGTTCGACACCTGACTTGCATTGAAGTGTCTCCGTAGTGCCATTGAGTTTGTGCGTATTCTTTTAGACGTCAGTTTTGTGAGTGGGTGGAGCGGAGAGTTTGGATGATTGGTGTCCCATTGATATATTACGATGAGGTTCGTGGTGGTTTCTGTGTTGGTGTATGTGGGGTCTGTAATTTGACGGATAGATTAGGTAGCATATGGGCTGGCACCCGTGGGATAAAGGGGTGGGAGATTTGAACGGTGTTAGAGGGGATAGGAGTGAGCGCCGTAGTTTGATGCGGGTTTACACTTTTTTCGCGTAGAGGAACCGTAGAGGTATGAGAGAAGAAGGAAAGATAAAAGAGAGAGTAAGCAAATCTGTGGAAGGCGGGAGTGTAATCTATTCAGGAAGCCGGAGGCCGTCGCGATTGGGATCTGGGGGTCCCACGGGAATCGTTGGAGCTGCGGTGGTGGTGAGTGGGCGCGTGGATGGCGGCGCTGTGTGGGTGCGTTAGTTTGGGCGGGGCCCGCGGGAGGGTGGGGTGGGGCGGAAGAGGTGAGGTGGTGGAAGTGTTGTGGGTTTTTCGGGGGGCTTGGGGGTTCCTGTTGGTCGGGCATTGGAAGGTCGGGTAACGGGGGGGCGGGCGGCCGGGGGCAAGCAGGTGGTGGTTCGACGGCCGCGCTTGTGTGTGTACGTGTGGGCCATGGGGTGGCTGGCAGAGGAGGGGGCGGGGAGTGGGTGGCGGGTGGGGTCTCGGGACCGGTCATGAGGACGGATGTCGTGAGTGTGTTGTCGAGGGTTTTGTCGAGAGGCGATGCGGTGGGGGCAGCGGTCGTGGTCTGGCGGTTGGAGGAGAGCTGTGCTCGGTGCGGGGTGAATGGTCGGGTGTTGACGCGCGGGGGGGGGGGGGGGGGGGGGGGGGGGGGGGGGGGGGGGGGGGGGGGGGGGGGGGGGGGGGGGGGGGGGGGGGGGGGGGGGGGGGGGGGGGGGGGGGGGGGGGGGGGGGGGGGGGGGGGGGGGGGGGGGGGGGGGGGGGGGGGGGGGGGGGGGGGGGGGGGGGGGGGGGGGGGGGGGGGGGGGGGGGGGGGGGGGGGGGGGGGGGGGGGGGGGGGGGGGGGGGGGGGGGGGGGGGGGGGGGGGGGGGGGGGGGGGGGGGGGGGGGGGGGGGGGGGGGGGGGGGGGGGGGGGGGGGGGGGGGGGGGGGGGGGGGGGGGGGGGGGGGGGGGGGGGGGGGGGGGGGGGGGGGGGGGGGGGGGGGGGGGGGGGGGGGGGGGGGGGGGGGGGGGGGGGGGGGGGGGGGGGGGGGGGGGGGGGGGGGGGGGGGGGGGGGGGGGGGGGGGGGGGGGGGGGGGGGGGGGGGGGGGGGGGGGGGGGGGGGGGGGGGGGGGGGGGGGGGGGGGGGGGGGGGGGGGGGGGGGGGGGGGGGGGGGGGGGGGGGGGGGGGGGGGGGGGGGGGGGGGGGGGGGGGGGGGGGGGGGGGGGGGGGGGGGGGGGGGGGGGGGGGGGGGGGGGGGGGGGGGGGGGGGGGGGGGGGGGGGGGGGGGGGGGGGGGGGGGGGGGGGGGGGGGGGGGGGGGGGGGGGGGGGGGGGGGGGGGGGGGGGGGGGGGGGGGGGGGGGGGGGGGGGGGGGGGGGGGGGGGGGGGGGGGGGGGGGGGGGGGGGGGGGGGGGGGGGGGGGGGGGGGGGGGGGGGGGGGGGGGGGGGGGGGGGGGGGGGGGGGGGGGGGGGTGGGGGGGGGGGGGGGGGGGGGGGGGGGGGGGGGGGGGGAGGGGGAGGGGGGGGGGGGGGGGTGGATGCGAGTGGGACTGTGTGTGTGGTGTGGTGTGGGGGGGGGGGCGCTGCACGAAGAGCGTCGAACGAGCAGAGAAAGACAAAGGAGGCGAGACGGGGGAGAAGCGCATAGAGATAGAAGAGCGAGCGAAGCGACGAAGAGAGAGAGAGAAGACGCGAGAGATCTAAGTAGGGTAGCAGCGAGAAGAGCAGATAGGAACAGAGAGACGAAGAGACGCGAGTAGCAGCGTACCCGCCACCGAGAGAGCGCCCAGCAGAGCGCAAGAGCAGCGAGCGCGAGACTCGACAGAGCCAGCAGCTCAGAGCTCGCAGCTAATACGAGCGCGAACCCCGATGATCAGAAGCGCGAAGAGAGAGATGAGAGAAGCAGCGCGAGGTCACTCAACAGAAGAGCGAAAGAGAGAAGAGAGAGATGAGAGTAATCTCTCTATCTCCTCCCCATCCCCCCCAGCTCTATGATCTCCTCGCTGCTCTCTCTAGCCTCTCGGCCGGCGAACGATGCTCTCTGGCTAGCTCTCTCTCTCTCTCTCTCTCTCTCTCTCCTCTCTCTCTCCTGCTCTCACTCTCTCACTGTCTCTCCTCTCTCTCATCTCCTCACTGTCTCACTGTCTCCTCTCTCTCTCTCTCTCTGTCTCTCTCTCTCTCCTCTCCTCTCTCTCTCTCCTCTTCTCTCTCTTCTCTCTCTCTCTCTCACTGTCTCCTCTCTCTCTCTCTCCTCTCTCTCTCTCTCTCCTCTCTCCTCTCTCTCTCCTCTCTCTCTCTCCTCTCTCTCTCTCTCTCCTCTCTCTCTCTCTCTCCTCTCTCTCTCTCTCTCTCTCTCTCTCTCTCTCCTCTCTCTCTCTCTCTCCTCTCTCTCTCTCTCACTGTCTCCTCTCTCTCTCTCCTCTCTCTCTCTCTCTCCTCTCTCACTGTCTCACTGTCTCCTCTCTCTCTCTCACTGCTCTGACTCCTCTTACTCCTTTCTCTCCTCTCACTCCTTTATCTCCTCTCACCCCTCTTAAGCCTGGTTCACACGAGACGATTTTAAAATTGTCGGCCGATTTTTCTCTGTGTGAGACCCCACACAGGGAGATAAAAAATCACGGGTCTAACCACTTCGGTCGTACAGTGTGTGGTGCGCAGCCGCACGGCAAAAATCACGCAAACCACACACGAACCGATAAATATCCTCCCGTGTGAACCAGGCTTAACTCGTCTCAGTCCTTTCTCTCCTCTCACTCTCTCACTCATCTCCCTATTCTCTCCCTCCTCTCACTCATATCACTCCTCCCCTCTCTTTCCTCACTCTCCTTTCACTCCTCTCTCTATTTTCTCATCTCTTCTCTCTCTCTCTCTCTCCTCTCACTCTCTCACTCATCTCCCTATTCTCTCCCTCCTCTCACTTATTTCTCCCCTCTCCCTCCTCTCACTCCTTTCTCTCCCCTAACTCCTCTCTTTCCTGTCATTCCTCTATCTCGCCTCTTTCTCCTCTCTCTCTTGTCTCTCCTCTCACTTATCTCACTCCACTCACTCCTCTTGCTCTTGTCACAAGCTGGCTCTATGCGTGTGTCAAAATGAGGGACAGACAGGTAGGGTAATTTACATATTTATTGTAAATAATGAAAACGATGAACAAAGGATAATAATCAACAAGAATGAGGTGTGAGTATGTGAGCAGTGGAATGTGTGCAGTGTGTGCAAGTCAGTGAATGAAAACCAGTGTATGTGTGCATATGTCTGAGTGTGAACACAAAGCTAATATTAACGAATGACGAAACAAAGAACCAAAGATCCAATACCTGGAGAGCAGAGACCAAGTGTTAGTGACACACACACATTTAAGCACAGGTGCCCCAATCACTGGATCCACCCTGCCTGAGAGGGAAACGCCCCTGTCAGGCAGGGACGGGCCGTGGCACTCTCCTCTCATTAATCTCTCTCTCTCCTCTCTCTCTTTTCACTACTCACTCCTCTCACTCCTTCCTTACCTCTCTCCCGTCACTGATCGTCCTCCTCTCTCCTCTCACTCCTCGCACTCCTCTCACTCCTCTTTCTCCCCTCACTCCCCTAATTCCTCTCATTCCTCTCTCTCCTCTCTCTCTTCTTTTTCCACTCTGTCCTCTCACTCTTCTCTCTCCCCTCAGTCCTCTATCTCCTCTCTCTCTCTCTCGTCACTCCTCTCTCTCCTTCCACTCACATCTCTCCTCTCACTTCTTCTGGTTCCTCTCTTTCCTCTCCCTCCTCTTTCTCTTCTCACTCCTCTCTCCTCTCACTCCTCTCTCTCTTTTCACTCCTCTCACTCCTCTCTCCTCTCTCTGTTTTCACTCCTCACTCCCCTCTCTCATTTCACTCCCCTCACTCTTTCACTCCTCTATCTCATCTCAATTCTCTTTTTCTTCACTCCTCTCTCTCCTCGCTCTCTTTTCTCCTCTCTCACCTCACTTGAACCCACGACCTTCTGGCCTTAAGGCCAATGCTCTACCAACTGAGCTACTGTCGCCCCTATTATTATTATTATTATTATTATTATTATTATTATTATTATTATTATTATTATTATTATTATTATTATTATTATTATTATTATTATTATTATTATTATTATTATTGTTAAAAACACAACTTCCATTTGTTAAACTCTGCAAACCAACATTTCTCTGCGTTGTTCCTCCTTCTTTAAGGAAAGGCAAGGCAAGTTTATTTGTATGGCACAATTCATACACAAGGTAATTCAAAGTGCTGAATAAAATAAGAAAGCATTAAAATCATAAATAATCACAGAACATTAAAAAGAAAGATAAAAATATAAAATCCCTCAGTTGTAGCACAGCTAAACAGAACTGTCTTTAACCTGGTTTTAAACAGAGAGGAGGCTTGTCTCACATCTTCAGGAAGACTGTTCCAGATTTTAGCAGCATGAATCTGAAAAGCAGCCTCCCCATGTTTAGTTCTGACTCTGGGCACTAACAGGAGTCCAGTCCCTGTGCTCCTCAGAGTCCCAGCAGGAGTCCAGTCCCTGTGCTCCTCAGAGTCCCAGCAGGAGGCCAGTCCCTGTGCTCCTCAGAGTCCGGGCTGGTTCATATGGGACTAACATGTCACTAATATATTTTGGTGCGAGGCCATGGAGAGACTTGTAACAAGCAGAGCTGTTTTAAAGTCTATTCTCTGAGCCACAGGAAGCTAGTCTGCTTTAGTCCACGGCGCCTTCTGCTTGTTTTTCACTATTTTAACCTTCACAGGGGCAACGGTATCCAGAACATTCAAAACACTAGAGGTGACAGAGTTAAACAGTTCATCTACAGTAGAATACGATGCCTTTTCAAAGTTTATCATTCCCATAAGAATTTTTGTATTTTCATTTATGTGTCTTCTTCGAACAGTTGCAGAGTCATCTGGTGGTTTGTTAGTGAAACACATGTCCAAAAAAACACAGAAATGATCCGAAAGAGCAACATCGACCACGCTTATATTTGAAATATTCACCCCCTTAGTAACTAACAGGTCTAGAGTGTGCCCTCTGCTGTGGGTGGGGCCACTCACATGCTGAGTGAGACCAAAGGTATCAAGTAAAGAACTCAGCTCTTTTGCATTTCTGTCATTAACATTATCCACATGAATATTAAAATCACCTGTAATAACTAAACTATCAAAATCTGTGCATACAACTGAAAGCAACTCGGTAAAATTATCAATAAAACTGTGACATGACTGCGGTGGCTTGTATAGGACAATGAAGAGGAGGAGGAGATTGTTTTTGTTGTATTTTAAAAGACACATATTCAAAAGACGAAGACTTCCCAAGAGACATTCTATGGGAGACAAAGTGGTCTCTAAAAATGGCAGCTAAGCCTCCTCCTTTTTTGTTTTCCCGTATTTCAGATTCAAACTTGAAATTTGGTGGTGATGCTTCTATTAAAACTGCATTTTCTGTATTTTGGTCAAGCCAAGTTTCAGCCATGAACATAAGATCTAGATTATAAGAACAAATAAAATTATTGATTAAAAAAGACTTGTTACAAAGAGATCTGACATTTAGCATAGCAAGTTTCAAAGTTTCAGTATCAGCGGTTGCGGTCGGCTGATTCTTACACGGAACAAGAATTAGATTTTCCAGTTTAGACTGATTAACTCCAAATGTTTTTCTGTTATGTATTCTTTGTGTTATCACTAAGGGAATGGCACAGGTGGCTTCATGACAGGGCCCCAGCCGGGTCTCTCCTCTAACTAGACTGCCAGTGGCTGCGAAGCAGAGACCCTGTGCATCCTAGTGTTTAGAGAAAAGAGGGGTAGGGGAAGGCGGGGGAGGAGGATGGAGAGGTGGGTGGTTCTTGGGAGTTGGACGAGGGGGGTTGGAGGTGAATGGGTGTTAGGGGAGGGGCAGGAGTTGGGAGATGAACGAGGGGGGTGAGGGGGTGGAGGGGTTCTTGGTGCTGAACGAGGGGGAGGTGGGGGTTGGGTTGGAATGGTTTTGGGGTTAGGGGAGGGACCGGTGGATTTTGTGGGTGAATTTGAGTTAGAATTTGAGGGACGGGTGGTTTTTGTGGGAGAATTTGAGTTGGACGCCCTAGGTGGCTTTGGAGGTACGTATGGGGAGTAGTTTTGAATGTTAGATAGGATTCTTGATCTGGCTACAGTGGGTGTGAGAGGAATAGTCTTCATTGCCGATCTTATCATGCCTGCAGAGTGTTCCGGTAATTCCAGTAGTGAAGGTGGCAATGGAAAACACAGGGAAAGGTCGTCCTCATTTTCCTTAGATGGAGTGGATGTAGCGGGGGGGACCCAAACCGGGTCCATGGAAGGTGATGAGGGAGTCTTTGGCGGAGACGGAGGTGGTTGAGAGGCTCCCAGTACAGGCCTGTCTGCTGTAGCCTGGAGCAATGGGGGGGGGGGGGGGGGCTTCACGGGAGCTGTAGGTGGGGAAGGTGCTGCTGAAGATGATGCAGCAGCCACTGCTGGTGCTGGTGGCGCTGATGACGCTGTGGCAGCCACTGCTGCTGCTGGTGCTGTATCCGCTGCTGATGATGGTGATGCTGACGGAGGTGTTAAGTTCTTTTGAGGCGGTGGAGGTGCCGAGACCTCTGGGTTCCGTGGAGAAGGTCGTGATGTCTGCGCAGTAGTAGCCCTTTGCTTCTTCCTCTCTTCCAACGGCTGCACGCGCTGCGCAGACTCAGGTCTTAGGGCAGATGCAA